GAACCAGAATTTGAAACTTCTGGGACTATCAGACAAACAATTCATGTTAATATTTCAACAGCTCTGTTGGTAGCACCATATTTGAGGAACACAAAAATGAAGAAAAGATCCTTCTGTCAAGCATTACTACTCATTCTGTTCAGCTGATCGGTGAAGCTAATTGAGGTACTTGGAAAACAGAAAGCTTTTATGGTTATGATATCACAGTGTACTAAGGGCTATAACTTCCTCACAGAGGGATGGGAGCGAAAACTTGACCATGTATATAATAATGCACAACAGTCCATCAGGATGAACAGCATTGTGAAGCAAAAACGTTATAGCTTAGAACGAGTAACTCGGGAATCTACTACACTGAACACTTCGATTGCAACCACATTATATGTGCTCCAAAAATAAAGCAGATATGCAATCTCACCTCACTGTGGTGAGGACCTGATCTAGTGGAAGGTGTCCCTGCCCATGGCAGGGGGGTCGGAACTAGATGGGCTTTAAGGTCCCTTCCAACCCTAACCATTGTGTGATTCTATGATAAAATATAGTAATTTAAAATTGTGTCACAGTATGCTCATCAAAATACAGACATCACCATTTTCATAAGAATTTTTATGTATGTATAAAACACACAATACCCTACTTCGGGAATACTCAAGGTGAAATCCTGCAGGCCAAGTCACTTAACTATAGGCAATGACAGAGCCCTGCATATGAGTGGAGCAAGACCAAGTATAAAATAACCAACACCTGTTTTGTGAGGGGTGGCAGCCTTCTGTGGTTAGGACCTACACTAAACTCAGATCAACTCTTTTCAACCCTGCATTTAGCCTTGAAATTTTTTACTTCCACTAAAAACCTGAGGGAAGGCTCATGTCCACAAGCATTTTAAATTATACAGTTGGTTTACCAAGACTGATTGACCCTACTTACAACACTTGGCTTGCTGTCACCTTCTCTTAAGGCAGTTTACTACCACACCACCTACTTCATAGGTGTAATGCTGGCCTTGAACTGGGTGAAAGGCAGTGGGTTCAAGTTTGTCTGCACAGTACTAGGAAAACATCTGTAGCTAAGTTTACAGAACAAGGATAAATGCCTTGAGGGGTGAGGGGAATCCTGCCGAGTTGTCCTCTCTTCAAGTTAAAGCTTTTGCCATGTTATAACATAGCTGACAATCAGACTTTATAAAGCAGATCCAGATCTCTGCATTGCAAAGTCCAGAAGAGACCAATTTCCAGCTATTGACAGTAAACAACTTAAGAAGATTCTTTTTCACACTGCAGGATCTGAAAGAGCCAAACATCTCCTCTCTTTGTTTCACGTCTGCTATTTGATAATTTCATTACTTGTCATGTGGCTATGGGATGTGACCACAGATTCAGGATGCACTCCAAGGGCAGAAACAAAGACAACAAGCAGGAACACTACACACAAGGCTTTCACAATTCACTGTACCACTGTCAATCACAAACTGTGAGAATCACTTTGTACCAATGAAAAAATTCCATGTAAGAAAATGAGGCATTTAGACTAGAATGAGGAATGCAATCTGTCCTCCTGAAGGTACAAGTATTCCTTAAAGGTCCTTGAAGACATAAGAGGTTCTCTTCTGAGCAGAAAATTGGAAGAGAGTTGCCTTCGCTAAGTGGGGGCGGGGAGGGGTGGAGAACAGGGGAAGGGGAGGAAATCAAACAAAACTGGTCTCAGCCCAAAGCCTAGAGTCATGCTTTTAATGACAACAAGACACTACATACACTGAGCAACATACTGATGGACTGAGCTAAAATCTGAGGGTCTTCATCATGAAAAAGAACTGTACAATGAAAAGACAGGACAAGTTCCCATAGCATGAAAACAGCAAACCTCCAGCAGAGGTCTAAATCCTCCTCAACAGACTTCCACTTTTCACATCCAGAACAAAATGGTGTTTGGTTGTTTGGGGTTTTTAAAATTTGCCTAAAAGGCACAAGTGTTATGCCCTGGAGCTCTAACTATCATTAATAAACCGTGTTGAGTGTAAAAGGTTACTTTCCACCAGAGGGTGCAAACCAGTAACTCTGCCTTCAGTTCCCTTCAGTAACAAAATCCTCCTTCGTAACAGGTCCTCTAACGCAGCATCTCTCTTCCCACCCTCACTCTATAATAGGAGCCACAAGTCTTTAAACAAGGAAAAAGAAAAACTCTTAATGGGGAAGTTTATCTCGACTGCTTCTAATTATATCTGCCCCCACCTGTACACAGCAAACCAGCCTCTAATCTGCTGGCTGAAGGAATTCAATCAACCCACTGATAAACAACCAACCAACTTCTGCTTCAACTGTATTTATTCCTCACTATCGCCACTTCTAGAGTATGGAATACTGAGCTGAAATTCCAGAAAAGACGTTTTTCCTCTGAAGAGTGACCCACCAGAAGGATCACACACACACACGGTAAAAAACAATGGCTTCTTGTTTTCTACTTCATCCTCACAAAGAACCCCAGAAACTTATTTGTTAGCTTCAACTAATGTTTCCTGGACACAGTTCCAATTAAGGAATCAGTGGGGGTGAGAGGCTGAGAAGGGAAAGGGACATAATGTTGTTACTGATCTTGTAAACACCTAGAACATTTCTAAACCAAATATGAAACCACATCAAGTCAGCTTCCCCAAGAATTTCCCCTTCATTCTAAAAATCTTTTATTGGCTAAAGTCTAGAGAACACTATCACCTGTTGCCCTTTGATTAAGTTTTTGTTTCCATTTAAATATGTTAAAATACAGATCTCTTGGTAACATCTGCAGACACCACTTGAAGTGAGCACAAGCACAGAGAAGCCTACTAGAACTCCATGCTAGAGCTGCACTGCAAAAATGCAGCCAAGTAGTGGTTTCCAGTTTTTTGTTTCTATTGGGAAAGATTATGCACCTATTTTATCATCCTGCATATAACTACTGGAACATGGTATATAGCAACAACACTTGGTATTACTTATAATAGCTTCTTACTACAATAAGGCATAAATCAAAAGGAGCTTGCCTTCTGCTGCGATGATACCGGTGGCGTGGTCATCAAAGGCTTAAGCGGAACGGTGTTAGTCTGAGGCGTGCTTATTCTCGGAGATACATATGATCTTGGCGATGAGGCATCAGATGTTAAAGACATTGGAGACTGATTAGATGGCTGAGCTGTACAGAAAAAAAAAATAAGGGATTGCTTTTTAAGAAACCATATCCTATCTTAAATGTGAATTAGATTTTCTTTTGGTACTTTGCAGGATGCTCTGTTAGATAATCTAAACATATTCACCTTGAGATGGTTGGGGGAGGAAAACTGGAACAACCAAACGTTCAACAACAATCCTAACTAAAGATATGTGTATTCCCCAAAACCCCCCACTTCTAAAATTTGAGGGGAGGGGGAAAGACAAAGCTGTTATGCAATGCTTTTTGCACATGAAGAGACTATATGATTCCTATTTTAGAATGCTCAGCTTGATTTAACCAAAAGAATGCATAAACAGTTTATCTAGAAACCTCTTCACCCATTCTAGGCATCTACCAACAGCACACACCCCCCCCCCACCCCCCCCCCCCATGTTTTAATTACTGGTTAAAAATTAGCATTATCATAATACTGCTTACCTACTCAATAACATGACCACATTTATTCTTTTGGTTTAAGTTTCTGGCTGTATGAAGTTACAAACCAGAATGTATTGAAGATACTTGAAGGAATATCTTGCCTGGAAGCTGAAAACTACTATTTACAGAAGACTACAAAAAAAACCAAACCAACACTCCAACCCCAAAACCACCAGACAGGATAGCTTCTTTTAAGAATTTAAGGCCTCCCCCAAGAGCCACAGTTGCACAGTATTACAAAAAGGGTGTTCAACCAATGAGAGTTGTGGTTTATACTGAACATTAAATAAGGTCTAATTAAGGTGCGGAATAAATTGAGAGGGTCTCGCATGTTTCACATCACTCTTACAGAGTTAGATAACATACAACGAAAATCCCCAAAGGCGAGACAGAGAAGCACGTTTATTTAGTTGTGTGTCAGCCTCCTGCTCCCAAAGTAACAATTTCTTATCCTATCTTTGAAAAAACAAAACAAGTCATTCGACATCCTCCACACCAGATGGCCAAAGACAGGACAAGAAAGGGCTATTGCAAGTTTCAATTATATCAGCCTTTACGAAATGCAACGTTAACATTTTTACGTAGGTGAAAAGATGACTCTGAATACCTTGCGTAGACAGTTGTGCAGCTTGAGAAATTAGGGAAGTGATATTGAAAGCAGATGGTCCAGCAGTAAGAATTTTATGGAGTATAGACTGCAGAGAGGCTTGTGTCACAGCTGCTGTTAGAACTAAAAACAAACATTCTGGTTTAGTGGCAGTTCTAGAACATCACTTTACGCTGTACAAACTGGCTAAATATATTTATGCTGCATTTTCTTTCCGATTTTGTCCCTATATCCACAACAGGCCAAAGAGCCACCTGAACTCTTTTTCACCAACTTGAACTGAATTCGCGGATGCTTGGCATGTCTACCCAAGCCCTTTATTTACTAGTTTTCTCTTTGAGACATACACTAAGAAAATTCTTTTAGAAGATAACTTTAACTCTTCAGATTGACCTTATGGCTCAATAATAATTCCCGTAAACATAAAGAGAACATTTGTCCAATTTGTTATTGTAGTAAGCAGAATGTGTGGTGTTTTTGTTTTTCTTAAACTGCAATCATTAAAAAAACCCAGAAGCCAGAGGAGGGAAGGCAAAAAAGCAGTATCACTAGCTCTCTAAAAGAGATGAGGGGAAGCAGGGAAGACTTGCTGTTCAAGGAAAAAGGAAAGATCTTTCAAGTTAAAAGTCCAGACGCTCAGTATTTTCTTTGCAAAAAAACCCCAAAACAAAACAAAAAACCCCAAACCACCACTACCACCCCTACAAAACATCACAAGTAAATACTTTTTTGCTTTAGGTTTAACTGTCCCACCCCCTCCTCCACTAAAAATTAATCATTTTCAACAAATTTTAACACTATACTACACAGGAAAAGCATCTTACAGTAGGAGCCCATGAGCCCCAGCTTCTGAACTAATCTTTTCAGAGTTCTACAGGCTCTGTGGGATACTTCCTGAACATACACTACCCAAGCGCAAGTCTAAAACACTGACTCACCAGCACACACACAGAGTAACTGCATCATGTGCACAGTGTGGTCAGCCCTGCTGCGCAAGCTGAAGTCACGCTGCCCGCATGGACCTGCCAGCCAGGCCCTCCTGCCATGCCAACACTAAACACTCCAAGACAGACAGGTGCTGCTTAGATATGGCAAGAAAAAACAACGAGGAATGTAAATTGGGAGCTTTCTAATAAAATATAATTGGAGTCTTGATTAGACCTTTCATTTTTTAAACACAAATAATCATGATACTCCTACTTTTTCAATCCAACCTAGCGCACCACAGTTTTATAAAGCTTCTCCCTGCAGAGGAAAAACAAGTAACCTACTCACCTATTAGTACTGAATGAAGCCATAATAATAACTGATTAAAAGGCAGTCAATTAACAGCTCTTCCTTATAATAATATATTTGAAAAAGTTAACTCTGGGCACTACATGTACATGTTTTGCTTCCTATTTAAATCAGTGCACAAGAAATTTCAAGAAGCAAGTAAGAAAAATCCCAAACCACTTTCTTCCTCAGTAACCTGCCACATGCAGTCAACACATTAGATAAAATTACACTCAGAATGCATCAACTCCACCTGTTCTGGCACTATAGCTCCTCTAAGCTTTCTTCTAACCAGCTAGCCCAATGTGACAAAAATCTAAGGGACACACCAATTACATGCACAAAATTTAACTTGCTAGCCAGATTACTGATCTGCTATCTTTATTCAGATAATGGCTAACCTGTGAAAGAAAAACGCTGGTAGGCAACAAGATTTAAGGATCCCCAGAAGTTTCAGTATTTGCAAACACATGTTATTAGAACAGCAGCACAAACTACAGAAAACAAAGAACACGAAACAAAAGAGCAAAAAGCTCTAGCTAGATTTTGTGCAACAGATGAATGCTGATACAGCGATTAAGTCACCATTCTCAATTAGACTGCTCACATACAACAGCATTTATTCGCTTAATGACCTTAAAGTTACTTGGCTAATTTAAAAAGGTTTAAACAGGAAAAAAAACATCCAAACAAAAACTATCCCTGCCTTATTTAGGGGTTCATTTATGTACTTTCCCTTTAAAGTACAGCTTGCATTTACTACAGCTTGTACCCAATAATATACCGGTATGTGTAATAAGAGATTACATCAGCTTTAAAAAATCCTTACCTTCGTTAATTTTGGATATATCTACGCTAGAATTATTAAGCTGCAAGGTGGCTTGCAGAGCAGGCAGCAGCTGTCGAAGGAGATTTGGGTCCTGAAGTAACGGAGGAATCGGTGATTGTGGGACAGGTGAGACAGGAACTGTAGGAGCAGATGAAGCAGGCGCAGAAGTTGGATTCAGTCCAGAAGCAGAAGATGTAGAAGGAGTTGTGCAAGAATGGGATACAGACTTGTCCACAGATGCAGACTCTGAACAGAAGACAGACAGTAGTTTTCATTTTCCCCAATATAACCTGAAAACTTCTCACTAGCACAATATTCATCTTAAATTCAGATAACTATAAGAAAAAAACCCACCACAATAAAAATGGAAGATATTTGTTATCTAGTGTTATTTATGCTAGTCTAATACTTATTAGGAACAAATACACAAAATTTTTCCCCTTCAAGATATTGGACTGGAAGCTGTCACTATTACACATGGGAATTTTTTGTCCTCTAATTTTTAGGCCAAACGTGGGTCAAAAATTCCTCAGTTATTTCTTCTTTTACTGTGCATATGCTCATATTCTATGTTTTCACTCATGATTCCAACCTTTCTTTAGAAAATATGTTATGAACAAAAACCTTATAGTCCATTTTACAGATAGGCTAGTATGTCAAATCTGCAGGGAAGGTATGAGCTGTGCTCCCTTTATTCAGAGACCAGGCTACAAGAAGCTAGAAAATAAAGTCCAAGTATATCATACACAATCCAGATACATTGCTCAGGATTCACAGACAGGATAATGAGCTGTACTAGAATTTTAAAACAAGAGCTATTAACATCCCCACAATGGAGTGGAAAAACATCTAAAATTTATCTGCCCATAATTCATTTCAAACTTGTCAGCTTCTCCTGAAGTATGAAGACCTATATAAATATCTAAAGGGTGAGTGTCAGGAGGATGGGGCCAGGCTCTTCTCAGTGGTGTCCAGTGACAGGGGCAATGGCCATAAACTGGAAAACAGCAGGTTCAACCTGAACATGAAGAAACCCTTCTTCACTGTGAGTGTGACAGAGCACGGGAACAGGCTGCCCAGAGAGGTGGTGGAGTCTCCTTCCCTGGAGACTTTCAAAAGCCGCCTGGACTTGTTCCTGTGCGATCTACTCTGGGTGATCCTGCTCTGGCAGGACTAGATGGTCTCTAGAGGTGGTTGGACTAGATGGTCTCTAGAGGTCCCTTCCAACCCCTGCCACTCTGTGAAATCTGTGTGAATATCCTTTATTTCATTAATCTTATTTTAGCAAATACCAACTTACTATCCACAGAAATGCTTAGTACTTAAATCCAATTATACTGTATGAAATTTATTATCATTAATGTGTTAATTTTAAATTTGACTTCCAGTTAACATGAAACTTCCTCCTCCATTCCAGCACTATGACAAATTTCTACACCAAAAAGTATCACCACTTACTACAGGTGTACCATCAGTCACTTCAAATACCCTTCCTTTAAGAAGACCACTTTAAGAAGACCATATTTCAACTTTAGCTACCCCTTCTCTCATCCCCATTAAAGCCATCAGTGACCTCTGCCCCAGATTCAGTCAAACCTAATGCCTCTAAAGCATCAAACAGGTTGGATGATGAGTGGAAAGATGGATATGGATCCAAGATCTCACCCAGGATGCTCGCCCATAATACTGAAGATCTGGATTTTAAACCCACCTCAAAGTGGGCAGAGAATGTCAACCTGGATATTCCACACCCCAAGCAAAAAAAACAAATTAAAGCTAAAATAACTGGCTGAGAAACTTTTACTCTAAAGGTGTGTTCAGTATTTTCTCTTTGGATAAATGGTCAAGGTAAGGAGAGGCTGACTTTTAGTAAACAAGAAAAATGAAAAGGTCTTGTTTTGTTTTACTATACAAGAATAAAATGTTACAATATTTCTAACAGCTTTTGTTTTCTGACAGTCTTAATTGCAACTTTTGAGACTAATTTGAGAAAGAACCCTAAAAAATATAAAACCAAAAAATGTCTGAAGGGAGTATCAATACGTAAAGCAAATGAAATAAGAAATCTCAATGAAAAGAAAGAGGAATTCTGCTTCCATGCAGCTCCAGCAGAAATAGTTCTTAATAGGTCCCAAACATGCCAAAACACCACCTTTTCCACTCAAGTAGTTGTCAAATCTAAACCTGGAGGAAAAAGGAAAAAAAAAAAAAAAAAAAAAGCCGAAGAATCCAACTTTGACAGCTTGCAAGGATGCAACAGCCAGAGCACACAGACACATTCGGATGTTTCAGGCAAACTTCTAAAAAAGACGCGGCCTTAAGTAGTCACAAGCTCCTCAGGACAAGGGGTTGGTTGGCTTTCAATGTGTCTGCAAAGGGAGCTGGGCATTCGGTCAGGAGCTTCCGTAAGAACAACTTAAGGGGACAAGAAGCGTTACAAAGACTGAAGAGGGGGAAAAAAGCAGTTAGAAAATTTGTATACTGTTTTCAGTAACAGGTGACTAGGTCAGTTGACTGGGTATTAGCCCCCACCCCCCAAAACCAGTAGGTCATTAGTAAAAGTCTCTGTTATAGAAGTATTACATACAAAATCCTAAGTTACCGTGTTCAAAGTAAACTTATTAAGACAACTGCAAGTCAAAACACATCAAGCAAACAGGAACCTTACCATACTAAACAAAAACATGTCAAGTTCAAAGTGAACTTGGATCTGTCATAGTCATAAGGACAAGATGCACTGGCAGACAAAAGCAAGGTAATTAAGCACAACGGGGCATGTTAGTACTTCCAAGTCTCCTACCCTACAGTTTTGAGAACCTTACCAAAAAACACCAAACACCCAAAAACCAACAGAACACTCTAATTTAAAAACAAACAAACAAACCGGAAACAGACATTAAGCAACTATTTCAAAACATCTTTAATGTAGTTAAGCTTTTCTTCACAGTTGAATTACTTTAAGCAAAGAAACAACTCACTACTATGTCATTAATTCACATAAGCAATACCTGAGCTTCAAACCACACCACTTCCACAGCTGGAAGTATTTTTCACCCATGCTGCAATTTTGAAACACAAAATAAACTGAATCAAAGACAACTTGAGCTAACAATGCAGTGAAGGCAAACCTTAAGACCAGTTCTGTGTACTTATTCATTTCTTGAATAAAAGGAGTCAAAATATGTCATACAAAACCATTGAATTCCAAGAGGTCTGTAGAAGTACTTTAGTTTGGGTGAGCCTCTCTGCTATAAAAATGCAAACTGAATTACATCAAAACAACTGAGTCCAGGTAATTCTTTCAGGCAATATGGAGACACTATTCTGTAGCTGAATTATTGCTGGCATTTTAGGTATGTGGTAAAATATACCCATGAAAGACATTTATCACCCAGATAAGCCACCCAGAGAAAGTAATGTGAAAAAAGGATGGTGTCTAACATTAACATTCCCATTTTCTTAGATGGTAACATCAGAAAACCAAGAGGGAAGAGTGCATCTCTGTGGTCATGACTGACTATATACACGTACATTGTGCTGTAACTATTACTGAACATCACAGAGGATGCAGAGTACAACGAATGATCAGAACATCACTGCACTTCACAATTTAAGTGATTTAAGTTATTCATTGTGAAATAAAGGGTATAAGCCTGTTTCTGCCAAAAGAGAACTATAAAAAAATATTTGTGGCAATACAAATATTTCTTGGTTTTATTAAGTAGCCTGAATGTCTATTTTCTTCTCTGCAAAGGGAAACTCCTTTGTGACGAGAATAAATGTGCTAATAAATATAAAGTACAGATTAGTTCTGTATAATCACAACTTTCATTACCTTAATTTAAGCCAACCTATCTTACTCCATGTCTTCCAGACTGGACACTTGAGTTCACAGAAATAAATCCAAGAAATACAGCTGATAAAACAAAGCATCTAAGCATTTACATATCACTTCATTTATAATTACAAAGGTTTAAAACTGGTTTATGATGCTATACATAACTTAAAAGGCAAAACTTGCAAGTTAACACAGCCACTCAAAACTCCTCAAGATGAAATGTTAGTTGCACAAAAATCCTCAGATACCACTCACTGGGGTGTGTGCATTTCCCTTGCTTTTTCCACAAACAGAAGCAGAAACTTCTCTCTCCCTCCTTTCCCCCCCCCTAATTCCCCTTTTCCAATTTGCTTTGAGTCTATTTCATTGTATATTTTACCACACAGCTAAGTTTCAAAGTAAACACTATTTCCTAGTTTCTAAAACATTTACTAGGATTTTTAAAAAGTGCTTGTCAACATATTTTCATGTTCACTAACAAGCTAACTACAGTATTATTGCAAAATAAGGCCTTTGATTACACAGCAGTTATTCATAAACCTAATCTGAACCATTAATACATCAATCAGACTAACCTTGAACCTACAACTGAAATTTTTCAAACAGAAAATGCCAATTTGGTCTGTGTCTTGCACAAAAAATATTCGTAAGAGATGAACTATGCTGCCAGGCCTGCAGAAGTCCTAGAATATGACTGAAGTTGCCCGCTATTGGACAGGGCAACTCTGCAGCCCTCTCAGTGTCAACACTATTTCCACACAAATGCTATGCAAACGACTTCAACCTCACATAAATTTTCAGCTATTATCATGAAAGTCCCACAGAAAACTTTTAAAACAGATTAATAAATAAATAAATAGTTAAAACCAAAAGCAGACCATACCCTGCTGCCATCTTTTGAAATGCTAAAAGTTCTGTTAATTAAAATTTATATGGTATAGCTCTTCTTCTGAATAAATTAAAGAATCAGATGTTTTAAATAATTTTTTGTGATTTTAAAAATATGACTTTGCACCAATTTTTCTGTGATAAGCTAGACGTTTAAACGTAAAGCATTAACGTTTTAACTTCTGGAGCTTTTAAGAAAATGTCTTGAAAAAAATCCATTCACTTATGACAATATGAAAATCCAGTATATTTTCTGACAATCATGTAAAAAGCTGATCAGATGCAGCCTACATGGAGAACTGCAGTATATAACTAAACAACTTTCTGGACCATCAACTTCAATCATATGGAAAAAAAAAAAAAAGGCACGTGAAATAAAGCCATCCAAAAAAAGCAAAGGAAAACAAAGCAATCAAGTGGCAAACAAAACCAACCAGATGTGGAGATTAACTTAATGTGAAGAACAACCAACTGGTTTTATATTAAAATGGAACAGGAAAAAAACCTTTTTATAATGAAA